TTTGAATCAATGAATAGGAACTTAACAAAGTTAGATAGTGGATTTTACCTGAAGCGCAGTCATACTCTTTGACTCTCCCATCTTTGGAATTTTCAGGCTCTTGGGGCAGACTTCTATCCAACGCCCTTTCTCTTGGCAGCAAACGCAGGTCACTTCTCCTAGAACGTCCTCGGAAGCATGGTCGGTTGACTTTCCCAACAAATATTCTCCATTGCTTCGCCAAATCATTTTTGATTCAGCAGCAATGAGCATGTAAGTTAGGTCAATGAGGTTGTCTTCATGATCCATCATATAATACTTTCTTTTGAACTCATTATATAATTCAGGGAGTGATTGCAGAACCCAGTTCACAGCCAACTCATTCGGGAACGACGCACCCAACATTATCAACCTATCGATGTGTGATTTCATTCCTAGAACGTGGGCACACACGGGCTTACCATCTTCATGTTTCATTTCCAATAGGGCCTTAGTGATATTGAACCTTTCAATTCTTTGATCTTGTGGGTTAGGAAGAACAATAGGAGGAGGAGGAGGAAGTGAAGCATGATTTCTTGTTCCTCGATCGAATCGTGGAATATCATCTTCATGTGGAATGCTTGTTCCACGGGATTTGGAAAGACCATGATTGTCGAACTTTGACATCTACAAAACGGGAGAAAACAAATTCAAGTTAGTTGATCGATTGAGTCCTTATTAAATCACCCAAATGAAATTCCAAGGCTAGGACCCAACACAATATGCTACAACCTAGAAAAGGGATGTCGTAATCTAGTTGCAGAATATTTGAAGGTAAGTGAATGACGATTCACTAATTTCCACCACGAAAAACGAAAAAAAATTTAAGTTTTAAATCTATGAAAACTCCTAGATCCTTTGAGATTCATTGAACTTTCAATGGCATGTTTAAATCTCGATATGCCCCTCTTGTTTGTGACTGGGATGCCGAGGATCACAAAGCGGGTGTGAATAACCATGCAAACTTACATGGTGCCCTCACATGTTACAATCACCTATTCGATGTGCCGGTAAACCACACACGCTCCACCGAACTATAACAAACATTGAGTCACCCTTTGCTACCTTTTCTTAGAACCATTTAGTGTGCCGGTAAACCACACACGCTCCACTAACATCTTCGCAAGGGCACAAAGTGTAATTTCATGGAATTGCATCAATTCACTTTCTCCTAAGTAACTAAGATTGGGAATTTGAAAAACATTTAGTTACTTTGTATTTCATTATACTTATAATGGAAGGTTTTGTCCTATCCTACCCGTTCGGCTAACGACCCTCCACTAGTCAAGAGTGCGGTGGGTAAGAGTGGATACCCATTCAATTGCCATATTATAGGCAATTTCCTTAAACACCCCTTATAGAACAGCTTCGTGAATGAGGCCTACTAACGGTAAGACTGACTTTTACTCATACATACATATATATATATATATATATATATATATATATATATATATATATATATATATATATATATAATGTTAGACTTTTAATGTTATATATATAGTATAGGGTGTATTTTACACTTTTAAAATACTAGGTGGTCTAATTCAACAATTATACTTTTAATTTAATTAAATTGTAAACCTAAACCTTTTATGGATTTATTAAATCTCTTTAACTATACACCTTAATTAATTAATAAAACCATAAGGGTGTATTTGAACTTTTCAAAACTAGGGTTTTAGAATTTAACATTCCTAATTAAACTTTTTAATCAACTTTTAAATTCCAAAACTTGAGGGCAAGTTTTGAAACATTTCAAAACATTAGGGTTTAGAATTTAAATATACATCAAAATTAAACTATTTAATCAAAATTTAAATCCAAAACTTGAGGGCAAGTTTTGAAACCTTTTTCAAAACATTAGGGTTTTAACTATTTAAATTTCAAAACAACAAAACTTTTGGGTTCAAATTTAAACTATAAAACCTAAAGGGGAAAATATGAAACTTTTCATAACAACAAGGATCAAATAAGAAATAATTTTAAATTAACATTTAATCACACAATTATCCATATTTGATTTATTTAATGATTTCTTGCAAAACAATTTATCAATTTACTCAAAATAATTAATCAATTATCTTATAAGAAACAATTATCTTATTAATTGATAAATATCTTCATTTAGATCAAAAATATAGTCAATATATCATATAATCGGATTAATATTGATCTAACATGATAAGGTAACTATCCATATGCAAAAACAGCAAGAAATCCCGAGATAAGCATTATCTGACGAGTTGACTCGTCGAGTCAAGCCTGGACTCGTCGAGTCACCCTGGACTCGGCGAGTTCAGCTATGGACTCGGCGAGTCCAGCCTCTAGAACACCAAAAAATCGAATTTTTAGATATACAATGCATCAATACAATTGAAACCATCCTAGGCTCTGATACCACTGATGGGTTTTGGTCATAAAACATCCTATGTGCTCATACAAACCCTAATGCTTGGATCTAGGTTTCTCTATTGTACATGCTTTGAATCCAAGACTATAAACCCTAATACTAGTATATGAAATCGATATTAACATATGAATGGGTTTAAGAACATACCTTGATTGTTATAGAGCAATAACAATCCTAATTCCTCCTTGAATTGACTTTGGAATGCTTAGAGTCACAAGTGTCACTCCTCTAATGGCTTACAAACACCAAGAGCAAATGGAGAAGGTATAAAGAGAGAGGAGAGAGGTTAGAATTCATCCTTAGGACCTTGGGAAGGGATACACGAATTCATGAGCCAAGGGGTTTTTATATAGGTGTAGAGATAGGGTTTCAGTCATTATCCTTATCTAGTTGCTTATCCACAAAGCAACCCATAAGATAATCCTTGAATCCTTATCATAGTCGAATTCTAAGGCCTTATCACCTCAAATTCGTTCACCATATATTTAAGATAATCCTTACCTTATTTTGTAACTATCACATAATTACAAATCAGCCCCTCTAGTTTAATTAATTACACTTGATCACAAAATTAATTCCTAATTAATTATTGACCAATATTAATTAAACAAATATGATTTCTCCTTTAATATATTATTCTTATAACATATTAATAAATCATAATATCCTCTCTCTCTTTATTTATTTCTCCAATCAAGTTGCTTTGGTGAAGGCAACCCAAAAGGACCATGCACCATCGGGTCAAGTACATACCAAAATAGTTATGGACTTAGACACTAATCCAACACAATATTATTCAAAATGGTACATCGATAGCATCTATTCTTGTCACATAGCAGGAAGGAAAGGGGAGTTGTGAGAGTTTCAGACTTTAAAGGATGGTCGAAGAGTGAAGTTTGGAAACAATGCCACAGGAGAGATAAAAGGATATGGCATGATCACACCTGGTGAATTCACAATTCGGAATGTAGCTTACGTTGAGGGCTTACAACATAATCTAATTAGTGTTTCTCAATTGGTTGTAGGTACGGGTCTGAAAGTGTCTTTTGATCTCTGTAGTCCTTCATCCATCAAGAGTATTGGTGGTAACAAATATATTTTGGTTTGTCAATGATTTTTCTTTATTTACCTAGGTATTCCATCTTATACAGAAATCTGATGCAACTTTGAAGCTGATAGATTTCATCAAGCAGGCCGAGCTACAATTACGAAAGCTAGTTTGGAAAATTTATAGTGATAACGATTCGGAATTCAAAAATCATGTGTTTGAAGAATTATTGGTCGACAAAGGGACCTCTCACATTTTCTCTTTGCCTTACACTCCACGGCTGAACGGTGTAGTTGAAACATGAAATCATTCTCTATGAAGCTGTAAGGACAATGTTGTCATTTGCAAATCTTCATTTGTATTTCTGGGCTGATGCCATTGCCACCGCTTATCAACAAACGATTTCTGATTACTCCAGATGAAATTCTGAAAAATCTGAAACCTACGTTAAATTATTTCATGTGTTTGGTTGAAGGTGCTTGTTATTCAATTCCAAAGAAAATCGGAACAAATTCGACGTGAAAGATGACGAAGTAATTTTTCTGGGGTATTCCTTGACATCAAAGGCCTATCGGGTTCCAAACAAGAAGTCAAAGAAGATTGAGGAAACCTACTATGTTACATGTGATGACAATTATATGAAGAAATATCAAAAATAAGATTGTCAATCTGAGGAAATTTTCCCATCAACAAATTCTAAGACTATTCATCTCATGAATTTATATGAGGATTTTCTAAATTTGTTTGATGAACCTGAAAAAGCAATTTTCTAAGAGTGAAATGCAAAAGACAATCAATAGGATGATATACTTAGACATGAGGAAGAAAATACAGTTGCAGCTTCACAACCAACCCCTATAGAACAAATTCCGAGGGTATCTTCTCCACCGACCTTTGTACCAACTTCTGATATTTTTGGAAACATTCTGAAAGAACCATTTCTGAACCTAACCACTACTCCACCAACACCACCTATTAATCCACCATCTTCACATATGACTTACTTGCCCACTTCATCCACAATACCGATATCATCCATCCCCCCTTTACCACCAATTAGTTCCGTGGGAATTTCTCTTCCTCAAATTTCCATCCCTCCATCCTCACCCATCTTTACTGATTCAACCAATCCCACTAAATAATCAGTCTCCACTCTGCCAGAAGGTCCCTGTAATCAAATCTTATTCAGAGGAGATACAAACTTTGGGTATCCTTGCCAACATATCTGATATTGGGGCACATAACATCATCGGTGTGACTTCTGACCAAGGTACTTCTACTAATTCTCCTTTCAATGAGAATGAAGGCATACTGTTCGGAGATAAACAATAACCCATAGATGAATTCATTTTTCATCCCTTCAATCTCAATATCAACCGTGATGAAGATGAGACTCCCATGACCAAGGGTCAGTTCAAGCAGTTACAAGATAAGCTTGACTCACTTTTGGATTCCTCTTAAACCTTTTCATCTTCTAAGTGGGAAAATCTTCTGACCATTGATCGAGCAACTGTGGAGATGCTCATTTATGCGAATTCAATGGTCATTGAAGAATCCACCAAGGCTGTACAAGCCTCAAACAAGAAAATCACTGAAGTTGTGAACAAGGTTCTGCTCTTACAATTCAGAGTCAAAGAATTCATGGCTAATTTAAGGGCTTCTGCAGATAAGATAAGAACAGATATGAATATGGTTATTAAAGCCTTTGGTTCTTCCTTGAAGGCTGAGAGGGAAGATCTTTCTAAGATTCGTGGTGATATTAAGTTGGACAATGTTGATCAAAACTCCACCATCACCACTCAGCTTGATAACCTAAAGCCTAACATGGTAGCAGAGAATAAAATCATGGATGCCCTAGCAGAGCAAACTCAGAAGGCAAAAGTTTTGACTGAGAACTTGAAGCATGCTAAATTAGAAGTTGATAAGCTTCAAGAGGAAAAGATTTCAATAAAGGCTTTCTATTCGGAAATTCATCAAAGACTGTTGATAATTGTTGAGACCAGATCTCATCCATTCAATGATACTAGGGGTGGCAAATCAGGCCATCGTGTCTTGTTTTTGTCTAAAACAACACGACACGACACGACACGATCTCAGGTTTTTTTAACTAACACGAAAACAAACTGATTAAAAAATGACAAACACAACACGATACGAAAAAAGATAACAAGAAATCATAGTTAATGTATTTAATTAATATTTATTCATACATAACACAAAAAACAAGACAAACACGAAAAACATGACAAAAAAGTTAAATCGTGTTAATTTTGTGTCAAATTTTGAACACGAACACGACACGACACAACGTCGTGTTTTTTACACTTGACACGAACACGACACGAACATGAATTTGAATTTTAGTTTTGTCTTTATTTCGTTTTGTGTTGTGTATTTTTTTCGTGTCATGTCATGAATTGCCACCCCTAAATGATACAGTATGGCTTGCTACCTCGGAAAAAACTTAAACCGATATTCGCATTGCTGAATCAGATCCTTGGTGTTTTGGGAATTGGTTCCCCTTTAAAACAAGGGGGAATAAGAAGTCAAAGTGAAAGATGAAATTGATCGGAAGGGTAATGAAGCATCTGGATCAAATAAAGGCAAGGGAAAATAAATTGATGAAGAAGAAGAGTTGTCTGAATCATATAAGCTTGTAAGAAAGAAATGGGATAAAGAGCTTGATGATCTCAAGGCTCTTCGATAGAAGCTTGAAGCAAAAGAGGCTGAAGTCAAAAACTTAGCTTTCATTTTAGAAAGTCAAAAGTTCTTGTTTCCTACATAGACTATTCAAAGATTTCATAAGGAGACCATCGATCTTCCGGAACTATACTGGTTGGAACCAAAGACATCATTCGATACTTGCAATGATATCGAATGCTAGTTAGATGGATATCGAGATCGCCTCAATTCTGAACAAAAGACCAATAGTGAAGCATTTAAAGAACCTAAGGATATCCAAGATTTTCCAAGAGGATTGATCGATAAGGAATATTGGAGCATCGTGTATAAGAAAAATGAGGATGGTGTTCTGAAGAATCATATGTTCTTTTTAAGAAACAAACATTTGTATTCCACAAGCACAATGAATCAGATTCTCACAAGGGCTTAAGTGAACAAGGCCACCATTGATTCGGATTTGAAATGTGTATTGGATATGATTTTGTGGTATCAAGATGTCATGGCATCCCTTCTGAAAATTATGCCTAAGGTTTTTGAAGCGCAAAGGCAACAATGAAGGCTCTCTTCTGAATTGACACAAAGGAGGGAGATTTTTAGGGTTCATAATATGTTGTGTCAATTGTTCCGAAATAGGCTTGTCCATAATCGGAACCGCTCTTTTAGGTTTACACTTTTAGAGGCAAGTACAGAGTAGTTCATCCTTGAGAACTATTCTATTGTCGCGAATAATAATCATTTGGCACTCTTTTGATCTTCATTGTTTTTTCATATTTAATTATTATTGCAAATATAGAATCTATCGATCTTCATTGTCTTTACAAGTGGTATCAGAGCAGGTTCTTGTAAATCTCAGTGATTATCGCAAGAATCGATCAGATATGAGGAAATTTTTCCATGAATCTCACTCAGTTCTTCAAGTTTTGTAAGTTTTCTGAAGAGAAAAGTGAAACATTTCTTATTTTTGCAAAAATCAATTCAGATATGTTATTTTCTACACATGCTATCATATGATTTGTTCTTGATTCAAGTTTTGAAAGTGAAATAGAATAAGGAATTCATGTTTTATCTCATATTTGTGTTCAAATCCATTTTCTCTCTCTAGAAATCATCTCATATTCGTTTTTTCTCTGTAGAAAATTTATCAGATCTACTTTCTATCTCTTCAAGTTCAGATTTCTTATTGAAGATATGATGGATTCATCAATTTCAAAGTTGTTAACTTCGATTAAAGATTAAGGAATGAAAGTTACAGATCCGAAATTTAGTCTTTCAAATACAGATCGTTGGTATATTGTTTATGGTAAGATAACATGTTCGCTAAGTGTCATTAAAGTATATAATCAATATATAAATGACAAGATTTGTAAACATCTATATTTGCGTAATAAAGAATCAAAACATATGAAATTTTGTGATGAAGATGAGACTTTATTAAAACAATTTTGTATTATCAAAGCACGTTTAGATCTGGAAAATGAACAACGGTTTTTGGAGATGAAAAGAGAAGAAAAAGGAAAAGAAGATGTTCTTGGTGTTCTTGACAAAGTTAATAAAGTTTTAGAAGTTTCTGAATAAAGGTGACTCCGGGTGTTCTTCTTGATGGGGGGTCAAGTGTTTCAAGTTTTTCAAAAGTGCCACAATCCGAATCTAGTAGTTTTGAATACAAATCTCAATGCAAAAATTTGGAAATCATGAAAGTGAAGATGTTTTGTTCTATTGGAACTGAAACAGAAGATTTTTCATGTTCTGATGATAATTGTAAAGGAATGGTTCCTTACAGAAAGTCTATCATTCAAGATGTTCAAATGTACAAAACTCAAAAAGTTTGTATACCAAAGGCTTGTGATGTTCTTATTCCGAAATGTGATGAAGTAGTTCAGATCCAAAAATCATATTTGAAGTCTCAAAATCAATAATATATGAAGTCTCAAAATCTAAAAAGACAGAAGAAGAAGAAGAAGAAGAAGAAGAAGAAGAAGGTTTGGATTCCAAAAGTACAAGTTCCTAATGCTTGTGAAAAGGTTTCGAAAGTGCAAGCCACACATGGTGAAGGAAGATTCAATTCTCATTTTTGTTCAAATGGAGGTGTTAGAAGTTGGAGAAAAGAAAAAATGGGTATTTGATTGGTTCAATGAGATATTCGGAAATTTTTGTTTTTCAACAATGAAGCTGATATCATTTTCAGAAGATGAACATTTTTATTCAAAGAAATGGGTTTGCAAGAAGTCTTGTACTAGTTTGAATCTCAAATGGATCCCAAAAGTTTCATAAAAGATCCAAAAGCTTCAATAAAAAAGGGTGTTCTTTTTGAAGAAATCAAGTTTAATTGATTTTTAAACGGCTGGAATTGACAAAACTAGTACAAAAAGTTGTTGCCTTGTCTGAATTGTATAAAGGCCGTCAAAAAGTGGAAAAATGCGCTTTAATCTGACAAATGCTGCAAAATTGGAATGAAATCATCTTTATCCAGAAAGTCAAGGGATCAGAATTGAAAGTTTAATTGTCTTTCTCTTTGTTGGCTTTCAAAAGATCATTTGACTATAACTTTGACTTTGCACGGGGTTGCATGACTTGAAGGAACTCCTGTCTCCTGGAACGGAAGATCACCATTCTCGGATTCAATCTTGTCCTCTGGTGTCAAGAATGGGATTCAAACCCATGCCCTTTCGGAACCATCAAATATCTTTAGGAATGAAACCGACATAAGAACAGATATCTCATTCCTCGGTGTATTTTGAAATTAATTTTCATCTTCCGTGAATCAGAATTCATCGGAATCAGAAGTATCATTGCGATCGGAATTCGATAGTATAGCGTTACATTATGAAATCGGAAAACAAAAATCACTGATCATCTTCCGAACAATTCCGATCATCGGAAAGATTCGGAATCGGAATTGAAAATCAGAATTCAGAATTGATTCTAAAATCGAATGTTCTACAATCAATTGGAACTAATGCTTGAGAAATCAGAATTTTGGCCCTAAAAAACGAAATCGGAACAGGTGTTGAAATTAGAATTTCATAGTTCAAAATCAGAATAGACCTTGAAGTCGGAATTAGAATTCGCTGTCACAAATCTGATCAATATATTCAGAATCGTTGAATAAGCAATCGGAATTGAAGGAAATCGATTTCGGAATTTGCTTTCACATCGGAATTTATAGATCGAATTTTTTGCTTCGCATGCGGTTTTAAGATCGAAGATTCGATTTTATGATATTGACTTTATCTAAGTCAAAGAATGTGTTTAGATCAGATCTAATGAAGAAGATGGTAAATTATATAAGTTCAGTCCCCAAAGTTTGTACAACTTGGCAGATTCTACCCCAGATCCTAAATTCTTTACAACTTCTTGGGTTTTTACACTTTCATCCTTTTCTACCCAAAATATTTTCGTTTCTTATTTTTTTTCTTTGGTCTAATTCTTGCTAAACCCTTCTAATAATTTCTTCTCATTCTTTTCTTTTTGTCTAAGCCTCCAAAACACTGAGAAACACAAAAAGATTTTTGTTCTTTTTTGTTTTTAATTTCAGAAAATCCCAAAAATCTAAAAAGAATTTATTTTATCATTTTTTCAAATATGATGGGTTTTGAAGATCCATATTGGAAAACTTGCTCTTTGTGACAGAGTAGGTTATATGCAAACTTGCTCTTTGTGATAAAGTAGGTTGTTGGTGATTTTTCTTAATTTTTTGGATTCTTTCCATTGTATTTGTTGAAGATTCAAGGGGGTGATGATTATTCAAGGCGAAGCTCATATTTGAAAGATGATATTTGATTCTCTCTCTCTTGAAAGACCTCATGTTCTGATGAGTCTCACAATTTAGGGTAGTAATCGTGATCTTCATCAGTTTCAACATCTAGGGGGAGATTGTTAAGTATTTGAAGTATTGAAACTGATTTGGCATTTCTATTAATTATGGTAGGCTATTTAGGGTTTTGTATTTTTGGTAAATATTTTATTTTCCATATATATAGTATTTATCTTAGCTTGTTAGGTAAGCTTTTTCCTATAAAGGTTTCTTTGTACGTTCAATTCCACATCAATAATATACAAAAACCTTTGACAGATTACTTGCAACTTTATGGTGATTGATTCATGATTGTTCTTCAGATTCTGCATTTGTCATTTCAATTTTCGTCCTAAAAAACTATAAACCAACGCTTAGTGAGTTCCCTAAGGTACCACCACATGAACATAATAATACATAGCATGTATACAGAGCATTCAACCTGAGTGGAACGCCGCACCGACTTACAGATTATCTGGGATGCTCATAAAATCTTTAACATAACCGGAACGCCTCACCGAGCCTTCAACCTATCTGGACAATTCTATGTGCCTTCGGCCTGACTAGTACACCTCTCAGGCCTGTAATCTATATAGGACGCCATGGGTCTCTTGGCTTTCAGTCTACACTAGTCCGTGTTAGAACGTAATTCTATCAGGATTGATTGATTCTAAGCATGCAAACAAATAAGTACGTAAAAGTAAACATGAATATGGCTTGAATACGTTGAATGATTAATGCTTCAAGACCTCAGAAGAGCTCAATTAAGAACTTCGACTATAGAGGTGTTTTAGGGTTACAAAACTCAAGCGTAATTAAAGAGACGTCTAACAATAATGCATACACGCATGCATATATATAGTCTAACCCTACTAGATAATCACGGAAGGACAGGCCCAATCCGGATATATACAAAAATCCCTAAGACGCAACATAATAAGCCCCAACAATCTCCCCCTTTGCATCTTTGGGACTAAGACTTCAACTCTGTTTAGCAACCGAAGGCTTCTTCACCATCTTGAACACTCTCGGAATGGTAGCTAATAGATGGTACCGAAAGGTAATGTACCACTGAAGCATATCAATAAAAAAATTTCTTATCAGCATCCGAGTTCTGCTTGCACCAATGTATCAAGTTGATAATGTGCTCCAAGCAGTCAGTAGAAAATAGATGTTTATCCACCAAAGCAAACAAGAACCTGTGAGCTTCACCTTTCATAGACATCATAGTCAGATGTGTTGAATCAATTTGCCCTATCTTCATCTTGTTCACATCCCCTGGATTTTGAGTAGTCTTGACCGTCAGCTTCTTATTCATTACTTTTTCTATCTCTTGATCCATTGTTGCAACTTCATAGATGTAGGAGGCCAACATTCTCTTTAAGTGCTCCAAAATCGGCTCATACTCCTTGGAATTAGTGAGCAGAATGTTGTATAGCAATATCCAATCATGTGGATTGAGATTGGGAAGATCTGTTAAAGATATCATCGAGACAGAGTTTGCAGACCCTCGTGTGATCTTGAAATGCACGTTCACAAATTTACCAGTGGGAGTCGGTTTCAATACCTTGACAATTGTATTTTTCTGCGCACTCCATGTCAGGTATTGAGGTTGGCCATACATCAAGTAAAAGTCG